AAGTAGCATCGCTAACCTGTCTGGGGAGTCAAATTGGAGGATGCTTGTTTCCCTATGAAAGCCTATGCCAATCACCAATAATCACACACTCACCTATTTTAGGTATACAGTTGATTTAAGTGTGCTGGTGATAATCATTGCATGGAATTTATGCATTCTAGAAAAGAGAGCTGCTCCCAAACCAATCCTGCATTTTTACTAATGCCCATTTTTGTAAGTGAAGACTTTTACTTGGGGATTTTGAACACTTTTTAAAAAATATATATATTTTATTGATTTTTCACAGAGAGGAAGGGAGAGGGATAGAGAACTAGAAACATCGATGAGAGAGATACATCGACCAGCCACCTCCTGCACACCCCTCACTGGGGATGTGCCCGCAACCAATGTACATGCCCTTGACCAGAATCGAACCTGGGACTCTTGAGTCCGCAGACCGATGCTCCATCCACTGAGCCAAACCAGTTTTGGCGATTTTAAACAATCTTAATGACTTAAGTGTTTCAGTTGCTGGTTCCTCTCCTGTTCAATGCTAGTTCTGTGAATCTGGAAAGCTGTTGAAGCCACCTGATACTTCATTTCTTCCACTGCAGTCTTCGTAATCCCCTTCCCTACAAATAAATGTCTTCCCTAAACCACAAGAACGACTCTCCTGCCTAAGGATCCTGGGTCAGCACCCAGATTCCTCAGTGTTTTATTGACTTTCTCCGGTGTTGTTGGGGTGACTAACAAAGCTGAATAGAGGGAGACTTGTAAGCTAGCATTCTGTACTTCAACTGGAATATCCCATTAGCTCATGGCATTGGGCTCCAGAAAGAAGTCATTTCCCAACTTCAGTCATTTGAAATGCTAGACATCCCATTTCCTTACTGTGACTGTCTTACAGATAAGCACTGCAGGGCCCTGCTGCACGGCTCCAGTAAAACCTGTTGTGTGAAGAAAAGTGAGCAGCTCCTCCTGCTTGTTCCCGGCCATGTTAGTCTGGGCCAGTGATGTTTATCTTTGCCGCTAAACCTCCATTTTCAGAAGCATCTGATCACCTTTGTACTAACAGTAAAATGTAATGAGGGTACAGATGGCTCAAGATTTTCTTTCATACACTTTTCTTCTGTTGCATGTGGAAAGCACTGCCTTTTAAAGAAATTCAAAAACACTTCCAAGCACTTGAATTCACATGATTTCATTCCAGGATGAGTACTCAAGGACAAACAAGCACTGAGACCAAAATCTCTCTTCTGAGAACCACACACCTTGTCCATTTTCCTGCTGCTGTGGGCAGGTCTGGACTCACGAGCCCTATTCACCTAGTGGTTCATCCCTGGCACAGTGTCTTGCTCAGGTGCTAAGGGAAGACAGTCTTTCATTGGAAGGTCTATTTTCCTCACAAGAGTTTTGGCTGGCAAGATTTTTCAGTTAACTGGAGGCAGTTTTAGAGGCAGAATGTGTAAGGCCTTTTGTTTGTTTTTCTTTTAAGAAAACAAGTTTGTAGTGCATGCCTGAGACAGGGCAGGAAAAGCAATCTGATATTTGGAAACATCAGAAAACATTTCTTTGGGGGCTGTTTATAATGTTGCTTTACTGCCTCACTTGCTCAGTTCCAACTAATAATGTTTCCAAACCAAATAGATATCTCTGTGTATCCTACATTTTGTTGTTCAGGTGTGGCATTTGTCCCAATACCTAGAAGTGACAGAGACCACTGGCCAGTTCTTCTTCTGGTCTTCAGTGTAGTTAAAAAAAAAAAAAAAATATATATATATATATATATATATATATTAAAATATATATATAAAAAATCAATATATTTATTGATTTTTTACCAAAAGGGAGAGGGATAGAGTTAGAAACATTGATGAAAGAGAAACATCAATCAGCTGCCTTTTGCACACCCCTTACTGGAATGTGCCCGCAACCAAGGTACATGCCCTTGACCGGAAATGAATCTGGGACCCTTCAATCCACTGAGCCAAACCGGTCAGGGCTTCAGTGTAGTTTTGAATCAAGTTTCCAACTAGGCAAGAATTAAACCAGAAAAGAAATGTAAGAAGAGGGGTGTCTAAGAAACCTAGTCTCCCCTGGAAGAGAAGAGAAAGCCATGAGAAGTGAATAATAGGTTTATTTGCATATACACAGGAGAAGAGTCAGCGCTGCTGGGAGAGGTGGGCTTGTGAGAAGGTAAGGCTTCAAGCACAGGAAGGCACCTTGACAAGCAGGGGATTCCGGCTTAGAAAACCAAAGCACAGTAGCAACCTTCATTTGCCCCAAGCCAACTACTCATTTACCTGCTGTCTTACTGACACAGGAATCACAAAACCAGGTGGAAAATAAAGTGGAGAGAAATGGTTTTATATATCTGGACCAGCCAACTTAAAATTTTATGTGTAGGATGCAGAAAAAGACACGAGGCACTTTTGAATAGCTCTTGATCTAATGAGTGCCACAGTCCTGCTGGTAAAAAGACCTCTCCTGGAAGAATCTGGAGATTAAATGTGCCTCCCACGTTGGAGCCTCTATACTATAGGGGTTTGGGCAAAGGGATCCTGGAAGTGGTTCCAGCCAGGTTTCCAGGACCACAATCACAGACAGATTTCTAGAAATGAGAGGGGAGTGGCCACAGAGACAAGCATTTCTCTTGCTCCTGTGGATGTCCTGAGGGCCTATCTATCTCCTGGCATGCTGACTCTGGGGTGCTGGAAAGGGTCTCTCTCAAGGATAAATGGCATCCTTACTAAAAAAGGATCTCTCTTGAATACTAAAGTTGAACCAGAATAAACTTTGACCTCTCTTTTGCGTACCCAAATGAGATGAAGGCTTTTTAACATGAAAATACTAAATTCTGCATTTGGGAACAGTAACTAAGTGGCTAGTTCGCAAGGGAACTTGAACAACTTTTTTATTCTCCAGGAATATATGTGAATTATCAGAGAAGTCAGAAAAGGATGCCTACTGATTGGATACCTGCTGATTAAATAAAACAAAAACATTAGATATGCTGACTAGGAAGGGGAAGAGAAACACACACTGAATGATTATATCTTTTTTAGTATATAAAGGATTAAAAAATTCCAATTTAATAAATTTTGGAAAAGCAAATGTAAAATGACTTGGGCTTATAAAACCAGAATTTACAATTATCTGTGAAGAGTCAAAAGACAAATCATAAAACCATTTTTGATTACAAATCCAAAGCAATTCTAATGGTTACAGAACCATTTTTATTCCCCAGTGAGATTACAAATGTTAAATTGTAAGCATCCCCACTGCTACTCACACTCCTTCAGCTCTGTCTCCTAAGACAGTTTTCACGCCCAAGTCACATCACACAGACGAGGCACATCTCTCCTTTCACACAGCTTAGCAAGCTACCTCCTTTTGGCTTAACCAACAACCTTCTATTTATAAATAACCCCTCTTCCCCCAGTGCCTAAATCCATCCGAGTCTCCATCCTGCATAGGTCGTCTCCCCTTGGTCCCAGTTCCAGTAGAACGGGTCCTCTGCTAAAAGGATCAGCGAGGCCGCACCAGCCACACATTGGCTCCTGCCCACACCCAATGCCGCCTGGGCTCCTCGTTGTCTAGCACCTTTGTGCCCAAGAAAGTGATTGTGTTCTCCTCTCTCTTCCTCATTTCTTGCCACGATTCTCCTGCCTTTTCATGACTTCGATGATAAGATATCTGGTCATCCTTAGTCCTTCCTGTCTTGCACAACTCTTCATTTATAACCAAGTGACTGTAACTACCACTGTGACGCTGAAAATCTCTTGGTCTTTCCCCCTCTCGACCTGTATGTACCTCAATGAAACAGTCTCTCTTCTAGGAGCCAGGAGTCTTAAACCAGTGACTCCTCTACACACTCTGCCTCCTAACAGACCTACGTAATAAGAATCTGTTACTTCAATTCGTCCACTGCTCTGCAAGATCTAGTCAGAACACCACAGCCTCTGTCAATTGCAAGCCTGGGGGAAGATGCTAGGCCCACCAATTCTCACCAATCATTTTGGGTTGGATTAAATTAATATAGTACCACGCTCTGCTCTTTACTACACTTTTTAACACACATATAACTTTAGTAGGTTGAGCACAAAGTTCTTGAGAGCTATCTTCCCCCCTTCTTTCAATATGCCTAGACACCATCCCATGGGGCCAAGGAAGTGTCTGCGGGCATTCTGAGTGTCTCTTAGAACTAAGTATCTAACTGATTAAAGTGTCACCCACAACTAGTTATGTTGTATGGCCTCCATGTAGTATGTGTTGCAGCATCACTCAATTTGTAATCAGTGAAATTTATCAGAGATCTATGTTCTCTTAAATCTCATCTTAAGTGCTAACCTCTTATTGGCATTAAAAATGCTTCACTTTTAGTACGTCTATGTTAAATGCTCAATGTAGAAGTGCTACTGAGAGAAAACATGGAAGATTTCTTTAAAAAGGAACCATGCTTTCCTTTCCAGCACAGCCAATGGGCTGAAGGCCTGTCTCTCCTCTCCTCCCTAGTCTTTCAGCACAAATCCACTACTTACTGGCAGCACAACCTGACTTAGCAGGTACTCATCATTAAGACCAGAACACCTATGGCATGTAAACAAAGTGAGATGGCAAAAAACACAGGTCCATAGATCCTTTTCTGATGGAGAACTAAGGACAAGTCTGAAACAATGAGTTCACGCGTACCAGTGTACACACACACACAAGAACAAATCAAATGTCTCAACAAGGGTTTACTTTGACGGAATCTAATCTGCACAGGTACACTAGGCTCAAGTTTTACTAGAAAGGAGTCACTTGGATTTTTCCCCTTTCTTAGCACAGCACAAGCCAATGGACAACTAAACATCAGACCCATTGTTGAATAGAAGGGAGCAGCATCAGACACAAAATTCAGGCCCTGGTTTTATGTGCCTTTAATACTTTTTTTTCCTTTCCTCTGTATTCACTAAACAGGATTAAAAATTTTTTTGTAAAGCTCCTTTTTGTAGCTTTTTGTTTTCCCTTTGTATTTATCATGTTTTTAGTTTCTTCTCTGAGGAGGAATTCTCTGAATCTGTATCTTCCAATTCGACTCGGTGCCTTTTGAGGCCACCATGGCCATGAACAGCCCTGCTGCTGTCTATGCCTGGGGGGTCAGGAGGGTCCTCTCTCATTCCTGCAATGGGGGTCTCACAGGCCATTTCAGACCCACAACAATCTTTGTGTAGGAGACCTCCTGTCAGGGACAAATTGTGCTCAGTGTCTGAATGTCCTGGAGAAGAGCAGACCACTGCTTCCAGCTCCCCAAAGTTCTGTCCATTGTTGTGAGGGTGAGGGGGGCGAGGGTGTAAGCGTCCATTATTGTGGTTGGCACAGATGGTTTCGAGGCTTCTCTCTTCACTGTCGTCAGATTGGGTCCTGGGACAGTTGCCAGACTCACTGTTGAGAGAAGAGCCAGATGCCTTGGGGACAGGAGGAGAGGATGGCTCCTCGGCCCGGCTGCTCAGGGCCTTGCTCAGAGCCTTTCCATTGAGCTTCTTGGTTTCAAAAGAGTGTTCTATGGAGCCACCATTGTTAGTGTCCTGAGCGGTGTCCTCTGGTGCCTCTGCCCAAGAGTGGCCACTGTGCTCATGGCCTGGGGCAATGCTGGGATTTTTAGCGGAAGTCCCTTCTTTTAAAGCATCCTTGCTGTGGCCTTCAGGGGGTAGGTCCTGGTTCCTTTGGGCCGCCAAGGTGTTGAGACAGGTCTCCTTACTGGAGGAAGGGCCCGGGCTGTCCTTATGACTGGTTCCCGCTCTCCCTTCGTCTGCTTCCCCAGACACCAGGGAGCTCTCTCCGTCCTTATTTGAATAGGAGATATAGGAGTAGCGGAGCCACTTGTAAGCTTTATAAATCTTGCGCTCAACTGACTCAATGTCTGAAGTTGGTGATGCCCGGCCTGGCTGCATCTCCAGAGCGGAAGCGCTCCGCTCGGGAGAGGAGGTGGGGGAGGAGGAGAGGTCATCCACTTTGATCTGGGGATAATCATAGTTGTCTTCTCCAATGTAGGTGTTGGCGGGCTTGGGCGGCGCAGCGGGCTTCTCTTCTCGGGGCGCCTTTTGCCGGCGCCGCATGGCATTCCGCTGCCGGGTGGACGTGCGGCGTTCGTTCAGTTCCTCCTCGTCCTCGGAGCTGCTAGAGCTGCTGGAGCTGCTGGACTCATCTTCGGGGCTGGGAGACCGAGGCCGGGGGAAGAGATCCGTGTCCAGTTCAACCTCACAGGCATTTTCTTCAGAGTCCGACTCATTGGAGAGCGCCAGGAGGCGTTTGTCCTGGTATCGCCGCAGGGACGACAGGCGCTGCTGGCGGGAGGTTGAGTCCTCGCAAGCGGGAGGCGGAGGAGTTGCGGCCACTGTGTTGGAGGTGGTGACCCGCAGGGGCCCCAGGTGGAAGGCGCCGTCCGCGGACTCGTCCACTGTGGGTGGCGGGGACCGGGGCAGCGAGGCCGAGGACTCGGAGTCAGTATAGCCCGAGCGCTCGCTGACCCCCGCGTGCAGCTGGAGGATGGTGCTCTCGCTCAGGTCGCTGTCGGAGTCAGAGCTCCAGCCCTCGATCTCGCGGCGCACCAGCGAGTCAAAGAAGGCCATCATCCGGGGGTCCTCCTGCACAGACTGGTTGGCATAGTCGTGCGACAGGCCACTCCCACTGTTCAGCACGAGGCTGATGTACTCTTCATGGGTGTAGAGGCAGCGGGAGTCATCCTCAATCCGACCGTCGAGGTCTCCTGTACATCCTGGCTGCTTGTACGGGCTCCAGATCTGCACAGAGGGTGAAAAGACCAAGGAGGGCTGATTGGCAAGTATTCTAAACCTGGTGCCATAGAGAACACCAAGGCAGAGCTTTCCCAGACCCTTCCTGTCATTTAGCCAGGATTTGTCAACCAACTTTAAAAATAGTCTTTATCAGACTGGATTATATTGGGGCACATATGGAAACTGAGACTTCTAACATCAGATATGGGAAAAGCCTTGTCTAGGCCACAGCATTGATCAGGAGTCCTAACTCCTGTCTCTAGGCCCATGATAATCACCCACCATCTCCCCCAAAATACATCTGCCCCTTTCACTTCCTCTATTAGTAGAATGCAAATTATAATACTCCCCTCATAATCTCAGAGGATACACGAGGACTTAAGATTGGCCAATGTGTTTAAAACTCAGAAGACTGAAGCTGTGCAGAGAGAGGGGCACCACTTTGCTGAAGCGAAACAGATCCAGCAGTCAGTCCTCTGTGGCAGTTAATATTTTAGCCTCTAACTCCACTTCTCTCCAACTGCAACATTTCTATTTTTAACTAATGGGAATTGCTTCTGGAGCTTGATGAGAATAGCCAACTGCCTACATTGCACTTCCCTCTTGGACATGCAGACATTAGTTACCCAGGAAACTGGGTTCTCTTAACCCAGGGAGTTGCTGGCTTGCTCCTCAACTCTTCTGTTACTGCAGGAATAGAGAGGGCACCCCTCACCCCAAGACTGCAGCCTCATCTCTTAACATCCCTCTACTCCATTGTCAGAAACATGGATTCATAGCTAAAATGTGGCTAACCTAGGATTCAAACTCAGGTCTGTCTAAATACAAAGGCCCAACTTAACAAGTTGAATAAATTATGCAAAAATCAAGTTCAAGGTAATTAAGCTGTCACTGCAAATGAAGACGATTAGCTTCACCTGACTGCCAGACTGGTCCACAGAGCAGCACAAAGAAGCTTGGTTAGATCGGCTAGTAGCTATGGCAACTCAGATAAAATTCTAGGCGATTTTCTTGTCTGACAGGCTGGTGTCTATCTTTAGATGGCACCCAACACAGAAAACAGTGGCTCCTCATTCCCTATGCTCTGTTAAGACAATGGCTTCATTTCCCCAAAGCTATCCAAAGTCAAATTTGCCTCCATAAATTTACTGGAGCCTGTTCCCTCCATGCTTTACTTGAAGTCCTGATTGGCAGTGCTTCTTTGGAGGATCCCCATTTCAAGAGGAGCTGAGGAAACCTTGTAGGTTAGCTCTCTACCAATTCCCAACTCAGATTCATTCCCCCTCAGCTTGTGCCCTGCCTACAACTCCTCAGGTGTTCTCCCCCCTCCAGCTACCCAGGGGAGTTTGAATGCAGTGGTTCTCAGAGAATCACCTGAAGAATAATTACAACATTAAATCCTGAGCCCCACCCACCTTTAAAGATTCTGATTCAATAAGTCATGGGGAGGTGTCAGCATTCTAAATTTTTTTTTTAAAACATATTTTTATTGATTTCAGAGAGGGAGGAAGAGGGAGAGAAAGAACCATCAATGATGAGAGAATCACTGATTGGCAGTCTTCTGCACACCCCCTATTGGGGATTAAGTCCACAACCCAGGCACGTGCCCTTGATCGGAATCGAACCTAGGACCCTTCACTCCACAGGCCTACACTCCACCCACTGAGCCAAATCGGCAAGGGCCAGGGTTCTGAATTTTTAACAAGCATTCAAGGAATGAGCAAGTGGAGGGGAACCAACTTATAAGAAACACTAGAATATAGTTAGTAGACAATAAGCAGCAGGAAATAACAGATTTAGCTAAAGAAATCTTTTTTTTTTTTAAAATATATTTTATTGATTTTTTACAGAGAGGAAGAGAGAAATAGAGAGTTAGAAACATCAATGAGAATCATCGATCAGTTGCCTCCTGCACACCCCCTACTGGGGATGTGCCAGCAACCAACGTTACATGCCCTTGACCGGAATCGAACGTGGAACCTTTCAGTCCGCAGGCTGATGCTCTATCCAATGAGCCAAACCAGTTTCGGCTAGCTAAAGAAATCTTAAATCCTTTGTGAGATTCAATGTTTCAGAAAAATTTAAACAGGGCCTTCAGCACAGGCTCAACCTATAAATTATTATCTCTGAGAACAGATGTCCAAGGGGATAGAAGTTTAGTGGCTTAGAAAGGAAAATGAGGCAAAGCCCTTAGGATGTTTTGTGGTGCTACACTATATTCTGGACCAAATCTCACACTTCCCCAGTTTAAAAAATGGTAAAATGTTACCAACCATGTGGTCAAACATGAAGCTAAATCTATATGTACTTCACAGAAACTCAGAATTTGTTAACAGAAGCACAAAGTATTATTAGCAGATGCTGGTCTAACAACCCAAAAAGCTAGTTTTGAGGTACTAATCTACTACCCAGAGCCCTACGTCTTCACTTAAGGAATGAAAACCAAAACACTGAAAGTCAGCTTTTATTTGGATTCTGGAATACATTAAGCTGAGGCAAACTTTCATTCCTTAAGCTTAGAGTAATGGAACAGGAGACTTGAGTGTGGGTTTTCACTCAGCTCCTAGTTAGCTAGTGACCTTGGGTGAAGCTCAGCTCCCTCATCTAAGCAGTGAATAGATGTAACAGATTACCCAATCCTAAGATTCAGAGCAAAACAAAGCCCTCAACATAGACAGCCAGTTTTTTAGCCTCAGGAGACTAGTAGCACAGAGCTGCTGGAGCAGGTAGAACAGATAGGAACCCCAGCCCCACTGCATGTCCCTTTCTCGTCTATAGAAAGGTCCCTTTTCTCAGCTGTAGAAATAAGAATCATTCCTACAGTTCATACCAAAACACCAATAAATGAGGTACTTTCTCTTTCATTTAGCAGATGAATGCCTCAATCAGGAAGTTTCAGACTCATCCTCAAAGAGACTTTTGAACACAAGAAGTACTGATGGTCCCTATGTATCTTAGTCCTCCATCATCCATAATATAAATTTCAAGCATTTGTGAAATTGTTTATTTATTTACAATGAAAGTGAAAAATGAAAATACAACTTCCTGTGACATATGAAAGATGGCTAGACATGCCTCCTCATAGGGCAAGGCTCATGAGAAAAGGAAGAGGAATGAGCAGCTCTCTCTTTTCAATTCCAGTGTAAAGTTTAGCTCAAGAGACTGCTAATGAAAAGGGTACAGTTCAATTCTTATTCAAATGCTCTTCACATTCTTTAATCTGGCCCACCTCCAGCCTACCTTCCCAGCCTTATATCTTAATCCTCCTTTTTTGTGCTCTCCACTTTGGCCAAACATGATCATTTTGGCCTAAACCGGTCCTACACTTTGCTGCTTCTGAGCATTTATTCATAAGCACAATGCTTGGAACACAGTAGGTGATCAATAAATATTTGTTGATTCAATGAAGTAATTAAATATCCATCCCCTTCAATTAGAATGTTCTTCCAATATTACTCTTCTTCTTCTTTTTTTTTTTTTTTTTGCAGTCTTTATTCTTCAACATCTAGTTCAAATATTACATAATCTGAGATTCCTCCATATGGGAAAAAATATCTCTCCTCCCACAGCATTTTTTGATGTCTCTTGAATACCTATTGCATTTCCCACTATCTTCCTTTTCTTTCTTTCTTTTTTCTTAAATATATTTCTTTTTTGATTTCAGAGAGGAAGGGAGAGGGATAGAGAGATAGAAACATCAATGATGAGAATCATTGATCGGCTGCCTCCTGCAATGTGTCCTTGGCTGGAATCGAACCTGGGACCCTTCAGTCCGCAAGCTGATGCTCTATCCACTAAGCCAAACTGATTAGGGCACATTATCTTTATTTCTTGTCTCTCCTACCAGGTCATCAATTCCTAGGAGATTTGCATTACTTTTCTTTCCTTTGTGTTCCCTGTAGGGTCTAGCACAAATGGCACACAAAAGTTATATCACACATAAGGGGTGAATAAATATTGGTCTTTGAGGAAAAAAAGTCAGTATTTGCACTGCTGGTGTAGCTCAGTGACTGAGCGTTGACTTATGAACCAGGAAGTCACAGTTTGACTCCCGGTCAGGGCACATGCCCAGGTTGGGGGCTCGATCCCCAATAAGGAGTATGCAGAAGGCAGCCAATTAATGATTCTCTCATCACTGATGTTTATATCTCTCTCTTTCTCTCTGAAATCAATAAAAGATATTTAAAAAAATATTATTTGCCCTACTTTGTGTTTAATTACAAAATAGACCCCTCTTTTGCTAAACGTGAGCATTCAGGGGGACAGAAAACCTGTTATGGGAAAGAAAAGGCTGGCCCTGACAATAGGGATTCTTCTTTGGGCTAGAAAGGCAGCAGTGAAGGACAAACAGGGAGAAGGTGGAATAAAGTTGAGAGAGAGAAAAGCAGGTGTCAGGGTGGACTAGAGCATGGTGGGATGATCTTCTTTGAGCCACTGAACGTCTCAGAAACAGCAACTAGGAAAGTGACATTTATTAAAACAGTAAATTTATAAGCACAGGTAAATCATAGGCTCTCCTGGGTGACAACTCATGGTTAGTGTTTTCACTTAACAGACAGGAGACAGACTCAAAAAGCTGCTTGAGGGTACCAACTGACTTAAGGTTTCAAAGGGCTTAATGTGCCTCCTGGTGGGACAGGATTGAGATCCTACTGGAACCTAGAAGCAGTAAGCTCTATAGTTAAGTCTGGATAACCTCACAGAGAAACATTTTCTTCTTTCTCCTCTGAGAGCTTGGCTAGTTTCCAACCTATGACCTTTAGGGTAAGGATTCCAGTTGACTAAATAGTAATTGGGGAGACTCAGCACAGAAGCATCCAAGATTGTATAGTCATGCAGGAAATTTTCTTCTAAAGGAGATGCCCAGGCAGAGCTCTCTGAGAAAAAGAATGACGTAACAGACCTGGAGAGGGCATGCCAACACATTAGTCATAGGCCTAAGCAGAAGGGAAAGCAATGCAAGGGACAAGGTCAATTCAATGACTGCCTAAGTCAAGGACTACTGAGATGATCAAATCTAGCAGAACATCAGGCTGCCAGCTTGTTACCTTCCCACTAGCATGGTGAATGTGGCAGTGCTCTGGGAAGAACAAAGAACAGGATTCTATCCTATTTTACCACTAAGTAGCTATGTAATTAACATCAACCAGTTAATCCTATCTAATAAAAGAGCAATATGCAAATTGACCATCACCAACACACAAGATGGCTGTCTCATGTGGACACAAGATGGCCACCAGGGGAGGACAGTTGGAAGGGACAGGGCTGTGAGGGAGGGCAATTGAGGGCAATCAGGCCAGCAGGGGAGGGCAGTTTGGAGGAACCACGCCTGCAAAGGGAGGGCATTGGGGGCAATTAAGCCTGCAGGGGAGGGCAGTTAGGGGTGACCAGGCCGGCAGAGGAGGGAAGTTGGGGGCGATTGGGCCTGCAGGGAAGGGCAATTGGGGGGGTGGGGGGGATTGACCTAGGCCTGAAGGGGAGGCCAGCTGGAGGGGGACCAGGGCTGCAGGGGAGGGCAATTAGGGACAGCCCCAACTGGCCCGATTTCTGGCCAGGCCAAGGGATCCCACTAGTGTATAAATTCATGCACTGGGCCTCTAGTATTTGAATAAATGACAATACATTGTTATCTTAAAAAAAAAAAAAAAAGTCCTGAAAGGAGGTAAGTTTTAAATATTTTTAAAATCAATTTTCGCCGAAACCGGTTTGGCTCAGTGGTACAGCGTCGGTCTGCGGACTGAAAGGTCCCGGGTTCGATTCCGGTCAAGGGCATGTACCTTGGTTGCGGGCACATCCCCGGTAGGGGGTGTGCAAGAGGCAGCTGGTCGATGTTTCTCTCTCATCAACGTTTCTATTATAGCTCTCTATCTCTCTCCTTTCCTCTCTGTAAAAAGTCAATAAAATATATTTTAAAAAATCAATTTTTCAATATTTTGTATTATGTCAAAATAATTGAGAATTTTGATAGACTGTTAGTATGTTTAGATACGAGGTCCTACATACATTTCTTCCAACTGTGAATTATAACAATTTCTCTACAAGGACAGAAAAGGAAGTTGCCTCACCTTGATAATCTTCTCTACACCAGAAGAGCAGATCATGTAGGTGTGGGGGTTAAATCGGACCTGGTTAACAATAGACCGATGCCCTTTCAGCACCATGAAGGCTCCATTGACCACTCTACCAATGCCACCTGGGAAGACAGAAGGAAACAAAAATCAAAAGAGAAAAGTATATATGTTCCAGTAATGGCAGGCAAACAGCTCTGAACTGGAGTCAAGTTTCTTTATTAACTATTCCACCAGCAGATAGCTTAATCTTACAGATAAAGTTGCTATGGGAAGAGGGAAGATGACATATCTCTCAGCATATGTGCTCTTACCGAGAGCCTTTATTTAGCCTTTAAGCATTGCCCACGCCCACCCACTGTAATTCCATTGTCAATGAAGCTACATCCACCTAAAACATTTCATAAGCCTTTTGATACCAAAATAGCATCCAAGTGTTACCTTAGAAAAAGCCAGTCATGAGCAAAATGAGACTGAACTGCTCTGGAACAGTTAGGCAGCTGAGCCAGGGACAAGCAGAATCAGAAGCATGTAATTATTCAAATGCACAAAAACATCTCTGGTCCATTTGCTCTCAATTTCTATGATACAGACAGTGAACAAAACAAACAAATATACAAAAACCACTAGGAAATAATGGAAGAAAATATATACTTTTATTTATTTATTTATTTATTTATTTGTTCGTTTATTTCCCTGATAGAAGGGAAGAACTAAGGAAAAAGGGAGGAGATTTGGGTCACTTTCATAATAAGCAGAGCCCAAGTTTTGAGAATCTGAAGTTAGAGTGTGTAGGCCTTAAAGACATCGCATATGGATTAAAATCAAGCGGCCACAATAGAAAGTTGTACTTTAAAGACCATCCCCAAAACTTCTTTCTTCAATGGCTAAGAAAAGTACTGGAGGCCTGGAACTTGCACCATAAATGAATGTCATCATTTATGAACTTGGGATAATTGCAAAGGTTCAACCTCACTGGTCAGGACATCACAGTCACACAAAATACATGCACCCAAACTACTGAGCAACCGTCAGCAAACAGCTTAGTACACACAGGCCAACCTGTGACCCTGGCAAACTGGCAAATATGATGCATTCAGACACAGACACTTATCTAAGCAATAAATACTTTCTTAGTCTCTACCAGGAGCATGGCATACCCTAGAAACTATACTCTAGTAGTCTAATTTCAGCTCCACATTCCATACCATCACACTCCCAACCCCACCTTGCTCAAATATCATTCCAAACATGTATTTTTTCGGTGTTGGAAGGAATATGACTAAAACATCACTTCTCTGGAAACATTCTGGCTCTGGGGAGGGGGTCCTCTGCTTTTGGAATCCCAATACAACTCTTCTTTCGCCTCATGGGAGATATTCCTCTTTATTGCCATGTAAATATATATATATATATATATATATATATATATATATATATATATATATATATTTTAATAACATCAAGGTCTCAGACTGTACTGATCTGTCCCTTGGCAGTGCCAACTTATGCAGGTCTAGGTGCTTACTCTACTTGGTGGGTGACAAAAATATCCTTTGACTAAACCCCACCACATGTTTGACATTACTAATATTTGAATTACCCAGGATGGATAATACATTTAAGGCTATTAATATCTCAGCCTTACACCAAATTTGCTAATATACCATAAAGGAAAAGAGTGACTAGACATAGAGCTATTATGATTTTATGAAGAAAAGTAGGATCAGAAAAGGTTAAGCACCAAAGTAGGATGCCATGACGGAATTCCCTAGACAGTCTCAGTGCCCCGCATTCTTAGGCTGGAGTGAGGGGAGGGAAAAGTAACATGAGTCTACTCAAAATAAAAGGGATCCATGGGAATCTAAAACAGTTGTCTTAATACAGGAATCTCACCACCACCAAGGAATTCCTTCAAGTCTAATTTTGTTCTATAGGAAGTTGATTCAACAAATAGCATTCCTGCTCACAATCTCTTCTGAATTCTATGTTTAACAACATCCTACTCCTATCTATACCGCCATGGGGGTGGGTCACTAGCAAAGAAACTTCAGGCTAAACCTAGTACCAATCTCTTGTTTAGTCCTACTGCCTCCAAGAGAAGGAATTTAAGTAATTAAAAAATTTAAGTGACTTCTTCCAAGTCATACAGCTAGTAAATGGCAGGGCCAGGATTTGAATCAGAGTCTATTTGACTATCAGGCCTAATCTACTACCTTCCCACCAAATTGGTAGCTTTAAAAAATTTTGAATAAGAATGAAGTTAAAAGTTCATTACTGATTTCCAAATCTTTCTAAATTTTATCTTTTTTAAAATATATATATTTTATTGATTTTTTTACAGAGAGAAAGAGAGAGGGAGAGTTAGAAACGTCGATGAGAGAGAAACATCGACCAGCTGCCTCTTGCACACCCCCTACCGGGGATGTGCCTGCAACCAATGTACATGCCCTTGACCGGAATCGAACCTGGGACCTTTCAGTTCGCAGACTGACACTCTACCACTGAGCCAAACCGGTTTCGGCTAAATTTTATCTTATAGATTGGTTTTCTTTTTTCTTTTTTCTTCTTTGAAAGAGAGAGGAAGGGAGAGGGAGAGAGAAACATTGATGTGAAAGTAAAAAATCAATTGACTGCCTCCTGCATGCCCCCGACCAGGGACTGAACCAGCAACCTTTTGGTGCACCAGGCAACAGCCAACAACTGAGCCACACTAGCCAGGGCTGGTTTTCTTTTTAAGTCCTGAATTTAAATGGAGTATCAATGCTTGAAAATTCCAGACCATGGAAAAAACTGTTTCTATTACTTTTTTGTGCATTGTGACCTCATCTGGTTTCTCTTCTTGGTAGCAATCCTATATAATAAAAGCCTAATATGTGCCAGCACCGGTTTGGCTCAGTGGATAGAGCGTTGGCTTGGGGACTGAAGGGACCCGGGTTCGATTCCGGTCAGGGACATGTACCTTGGTTGCGGGCATATCCCCAGTAGGGGGTGTGCAAGAGGCAGCTGATCGATGACTCTCTCTCATTGATGTTTCTAGCTCTCTGTCTCTCTCCCTTCCTCTCTGTACAAAATCAATAAAATATATAAAAATAAATAAATATTTAAAAAAATCTTCATTTAAAAAAAAAAAATAAAAAAATAAAAGCCTAATATGCTAAGGGTCCAGTCGTCTGTTCAACCAATCAAAGCATAATATGCTGTAGACAGCACCTAGGAAGGCACATGGGCATTTCTTTAAATTGTCGTTAGCTGAGTCCGAAGCGACTGGCGGAGCTGCATCTTGGATCCACATTCCCCAAGAAGGCGGAAAGTGTTATCAACTTGACCTTCATATCAGCCAAGGTGTCGAGGAAGCAGCCTTAGATACATAAATCCAGTCAAGCACCAGGAATGCTAGGGCCTACTCAAGAATGCAAATAAGCTCCTGATCCTAAGTTTTGGTGATACTTCCTGGTATTTGGGGGTATAAAATAAATGCGCTACATGGGCTCAGGGTCCTGTCCTTCCATCAGAGTGGCAGTGTCCCACCTGGCTCCCAGCTTGCTTCTATTTCTGCATCTTGCTCTCTTTCTTTTATTTCTTAATCCCCAGCTCCTCCACTCAGGAACTGGACTCGTTCCTTTTCTGTGCTGGACGCTGGAGAGAAACAGCTCTACAATATGCTAAGGCTGCTCAGCTGCTTGCTATGACATGCACTGACCACCAGGGGGCAGGCAGTTGACCAGTTGCTATGACATGCACCAACCACCAGGGACAGACGGCAGTTGACCATTCACTATGACATGCACTGATCATCAGGGGGCAGGTGCTCCAAACGGCAGGTTAGTTTGCTACTGGGGTCTGGCTGATCGGGACTGAACAAGATGAGCCAGACACACCCTGGATCCCTCTCGCAGTCCCTCCCTGGCTGGCCAACCTCCCACATCCCGCCTCAGCCTCGATCATATACTAGAGGGGTCCCTCAGCCTGGCCTGTGCCCTCTTGCAATCCCGGACCCCTCAGGGGATGTCAGAGAGCCAGTTTCAGTCCAATCCTGCAGACCAGGCCGAGGGACCCCATTGGTGCACAAATTTGTGCACTGGGTCTCTAGTTTTAATATGAAGTCTTCTCTCTTCTTTCCATCTAAACTGATACCTAGAAAGTCTGAAAAAGAGGAGGAAGCCAATAGACCAAGAGACTGATAGTGTAAACAGCTACAGAAAAAATTGCTTCCATTTGTTTAAGGTAACCAAAGCTATGTACACAAAATCATAGCAATGAAAGGGTTTCAGAAAGGTTCTCTATAGTTCCTTTTCTGGTTTCCAGGTTTCAAGTGATTGGCTACAGCTGCTACTATATAGTTAGACACAATGATTTTCAGAGAATAAATTTTATCAGTTCTGGAGATTTGAGTAATTTAGATAGATTTCTTTATTCTGAAATGGCTAAAGTAAAAATAGTAGCATCAGTAAGAACTTGGTGTCTCCTCTCCTCCATTACTTAGCCAGACCCTGCCCATCATTAGATGGATCAAGTTGAAAGGAGTTAGGCAGAGATTATTTCTCCCAACAACTACACAACCTAGTCCCCTGAAGGTCATCTCTAGACTATATATAGGTCAGGGACCTGGTGAGGATCAACCTCACCCATGGTTACCAAATGAAGCCATGACCTAATCATTAATAATGGGTAGCAATGAACAAATTAGGACACACCCAGGAAAACCAACATTCATCCTTGAGCTGTCATTTACTTGTACAATTTTGTACAAACCAATGATCATTTCTCTGGTGCATCAGTTTGGCCAGCTCAACCAAAGAAGTTAGCACCACTTTGTAGGTCTCTTTAATAAGTCAAGGCTAACGTTCCCTTATTTCCATCTTTCCTTTGGTTCAGTAGGGATGATAGGAAGGTGGGGAAGGCTATAAATCACTTTATTCTAAAACCTCAGAAAGTAAAATAACTGGGTCATCTCATAAGATTCCAACATCAGTACTCACTCCTCTTTTCACAACATTCAACTAGAGACTTGTCCCTCAGGCACCTCAAGGGTCAGGATACCACTCTCATTTCTCACTAACTTACTTTTCTTTTTGTCAATTTAATTTGCTTCAACAAAGTTCTCCAAGAATGACTATGCTGT